CGCATCATTTAAAGTCAAACGAGAGTGTCAGATGAGCATAGACATTTTTTTCTTGGTTTCTCAACTTCAGTAATATCTTATCATAGCTGTATGCATTTGCCAACCAAATAGGGCAAGTTTTTATGTTTTTTTTTAATTACCGTAATACCTGGCGTATATAAGAATCTAACGTCAACATGTTTTTCAACAGAATGTCTAAAGAGGTGTGTCAGAAAATCTGGCACTCGTGTCAATAACATTTCAACTACTCGGACGAGCATCGTGTATTATGTGAAGCATTAGAACTTGAGCATCTCTCGGAGAATAGAAGAGAGAATTTTGATAACACATTGGGGAGATGATGGCTTGTTTGGTATAAGCCTCAGGGTAGCAGAATGTGCTGATAGCTCAGTAATGTTTTTAAAAAAGCCGCGAGTGCTCTTCACGAGATTTGTAATGTTTTCTGAACCACCTAGTACCGTTAAGATATATTATTAGGTTTTTCAATGTGAGAAAAATTTACGCTTTTCAGAAGTCCCCGTTTTTGACACACTACTCTAATAGTTATCCTATAACCCAAAATAAACGCATTTAAATCAATATATCTTAGAAAGATACAATCAGTATTATAAGAAACCATCTTTATGAATGTTATATATTTCCATATTATTTGCTCATTTTTTGTTAAGCGCAAAGCTGCAGAATGGGCTGTCTGTGCTGTGCCAACTTCAGGAATTAAACGGCGAATGTTAGCCTTATAAGATCTCAAGCTTGCCGCTGCCTCACCGTGGATATTTACACCAGGATATTATAATTGAACAATGATGACTTTTCCGTCCTAAGCTTTCCCTTAAAAATTGTTTTAACTTATGAATTCCATATTTTTCATACTAAAACATTTTTTTCGTAATTTATACATAAATATACTTATTAACTGTTAGCATAAAAATATTTGATGGTTTGTTTTTATTCTCGCACAGAGATATAGTCTTCTAATGCATGTGTATTTCGAATATGTTTGTATCACAATTGAATTTCGTATTTTGTAATGACTTGTTTATACATTAGTAGTTTAGAGCAATGTTTTCCAAAAAGTTTTGTTTGCGAACAACATGAATTTTCTTTTTATCGCACGGATTACCTGTACTTTTTTATTTTTTTTTATCGTGGCGGACCACAGTGCTGATGCTCTCCTTACGTAAGTATGCAACCTTTACACGAAACACCCGGAGGAAGCCTGCGAACCACAGATTGAGAAACGCTAGTTTAGTGGATATTTAAAATTTCAAATGAGTAAATCGACTGATCACCCTCCTAGTAGACAAATCATACTATTAGAAATATAAACTTAAAAACCACAAATTTAGTCTTAGGGCAGTATAACGTTTTAAAAATTATCCTCTTTTTCTTAACTACTTATTTTACCTATCATAAAGAATATATTGCAAAAGATTTGAATGATGACATTTGTTCAGGATTTCCTTTTTGGCAATTCATATCGCAAATTTATGTTTTCGAATAAATGAGATTTTTGGCAGATATACAACTAATCTACAATGGCTGTGTTAAATTAAAACTTTCACTTGCACATTGGGTCCTGATTAATATTTTTGAGAAAGTTTAACACTTTTTTAAGTAATAATCACAAAGGTTAAACAAAACTGAATATGAAAGTACAGTCACAAATCTGAAGAACCTTCAGTAATCTGGATGTTAGAAATATTGATTTGTTTCCACACTAAGTTTTACCCTGGTAATAATAGTAAAGTAAAAAAAATGATGCGAGAATGTATAAACGTTATTGAGGGCTTACCTTACCATTTCCCGTTTGCATCCTTCTGAAACATTAAAGATACTGTTACAGGAAAAACTGCTGTTTTTTTTTGTAAGTACAAAGCAACACAATTTACCGTTCAGCCACCGGGGGCAACAGGGAAGGTTAAAGTTCTGAAGGTTAGAATAATAAAATGAGCATAAGATAGGTCTTAGTTAAAGTCAAATCCTTGCCACGTCAAGATGACACATAGAATCCATGTTAACCAAGGAAAAAGTTCTTATTTCAATGGGTTCCTTACTCTTATGTTATATATGTGTCCACTGTCTAGTACTGCATGTTTAGTTAAGTTTCCTTGTTTCGGATATTCACGCAAAGCCACACAATGGCTATCTTCACCAGTCAACCCTAATTTTCAGCTAATAGAATATAAGGAAGGCAGCTAATCAACATAACCCGCCGCCAACTGTTGAGATACTGTAATCGAATAGTTAAATTTGAACTGTTATAATGCATCCAAGATCTGAAAATGCAGAGAATTTGCGGCAACGGGACGCGAAGCATCGAATTCACGGCCAGCCATGGCCGGACCCCTATTTTAGTTGAAAAGAACAGATGTGAAATATCTTCAATACTAACGTTGTAACTTTGTTTTATATATATATTAATGAACAATATAAACAGAATATATATATATATAAACACACTGTAAATCATAATGTTTTATGTGTGAAAAGAAGAAGAAGCATGGTTGTCGATTCAACTCTTGAATTTATTATTAGCACATGACGATATCTTAGTAAAAAACCTGTTTATATTTTTAGATTACTTAAAGAAGGGGGTTTCCCGCAGAAACCACGTTGGGTCAAGTGGGACGGCGTTGTAAGAACATCGAAAAGATTTGTTGATCTCTCCGCTCCAACGTTGCATCGAGTCGGTGTAGATAGATATATGCGAATCGAATCTCAGATGTGCAAGCAAGCTTTGTGATTGCATAGAAACAGGTCTAAATTCTTACCAGTTGCCGGGTGAAAAAGATTGTTACACGTGCTAGTCGTGTTGTGTGAATGACCGATGGAATGAGTCCGGGAAAATATGTTGTCTTAAATTAAAGAACAATCGGAACAACCCCCTTCCATTTCCCCACTTTCTTTGATCTTTGGTATAGGTGTATATACGATGCCTAGAGGCAAAGCCTTTAGCTTGCTAAGCCTAACTTCAGTGAGGGCTGCACGCAATCTTTTGCTGCTGTTCCTCAAATGCCGAAATAGTATTCGTCCCTGTCGTCTTTTACGCCATGTTATTGCAACTATTCCATGTAGCAAAGTAAGACGGTAACTTCTTTCATGTCTGGATTCCACAGCAAAAACTACCCAACCACCTGTCTATGTGAGGTTATTAGCTAAAGTAGCATCCCAGACATATATTTTTAGGTCATTAAGGTGTGCAATGCGATACAAAAAATCATTTCTGCTTGCTAGAAGAACTTGCTTTGGAACTGGATCTCGGTTTATTAATTCGAAGAACAGTAAATATGTCATAAGATGAACCTTCTAATTACAATTAGTATTTGAGGCCAATTAAAAATCACATACGTTCTGAAGAAAAGAAAATTTAAATTCAGTACAACTAAAATGTAAAAGAGCAATCTTTAATACACAAACAGAAAATTTTATGCTACAAAAGAATCAAAATACTTGCACGTAAAGTAGGTGTCAATAAACTTGGTTCATAACATATTAAAAAATAAGTTTAGGTAAATGCATACATACTATACGCCGAAAGAAAGCATTCCTAAACATACTGATCTTCTATTTTGAAATACTTCTGATAATCTATAAAACATGATTGGAATAGCTTAAACTTTTGCATAACATCTGAAAAGTACGCCGTCTAAGGATAGTTTATGAAACTTAGTTACATGTATCAAACTCAAATACAATTTATTGAAGTTGTGCTACAAAATGAATACTTCTTGAAATTAGAGAAAATAAAATCAATACAGAGAACGTATCATTCTTAACCCGCATGAAAATGTTCTTAAGCCCAAAGCTACACAATGGGCAATCTATACTCTACACACCACGGGTATCGAAACTCGATGTTTAGCATTATAAGTCCTCTGACCTACCACTGAGCCACCAGTGGACATTATATTGTCATATATTAATTTAAAGATAGTAATAACAGTTGTCATAACGACGACTACAGGCCAAATAATAAAAGAGAATTCAAATATTGATATTGAAAATAGTTTTCATAAAATCTTATTTTAAAACTGATGTAAATTCAGTTTGTTGTTGTTGTTGTTGTTGCTTCACCTAATAATCGATAAGCTTTATTTGTGTAAATGTTAAAGAAATAGTCAATACGATACGATTTTCTAATTTACCCAATCCACAAGCTCACCAGTGACATGATGAAAAACTACTTGCAATCGTAATAAGAAAACAAAAATCAGTCGCTTGCGTCTTCTGGCACTATCTTTCCTTACCTTTGAAAATTTGTACCATAAACAGAGGAAAATGTTTTGGAACTACACCAGACTGCGTACATGTACATGCACAAGATGTATGAGCTAAAAAAGTAAAAAAGAAAAGGACGTGGAAAAATCAATCACTTCTGTGAATTTTTCTCTTTTCACAGGAAAAATATATAATTTCATTGCATGTTACCTTGTCACTTTACTTGTTTCATAACAGTATTATCACATTTTAACCACATTTGAGCCTCACTAGGCTCAACCGTAAATGTAAATTCAACTGTATTTTTAAGTGTATTTTCTGTGTTTGTTTCATTAAATTTATGCGTGCGTGTTTGTGTCTGCGTTCTTACTAAATTCAGCAGCACTCAGATGCAGAAAGCGTTACCCTTGTGTTGTTCTCCCACGCTCTTTAGTGGTACATGACAAAAACAAAGCTTTCACAATGCTACAAATTCTCGCTGTCTTGCTATTTCTCAAGACCCTAACTCAGTCTTTGTCTAGACTACACTTGCATGTTAAAATACATTTAAGCTGATCTCCCCCCACTTTTTTGGGAGGCTATGTTTCACATACGGCTCACTGCGTATGCGTTATCTCACTCACAGCCAAATGAATAATTTAAGATGTAACTAGAGCTATGTACATTTTTATTTTTATTTTACATAACAGAAAATTGTGAACAGATTTTAAGAAAGAAACTTGCACGTTCATGACTCTCGCTTGTTTGAAAAATTATTCTTTACCCGAACATACTTAAGCAAGTTTCAGACGTCGACTAGTAATATAAGTAGGTTTAACTAAGACGGTTCGTTTCCCGGAAATTGTATAGACGTGATAATAAAACCATTACTTTCGTTTAAGTTTCTTTAGAAAAAAATTTAACTTTGCATAAAAATAATTATTAAAATAAATGATTAAAGTGCTCCTTGAAAACAAAAGAATGAATGCACGTAAACTGAAAACACCTAAACATTTTTTGTTTTATTATTTGATCTAAACCTTCACGTTTCTTGCAATGTATTATTGCTTGATTTGTATAAGCTACGAAAAATGTTAAAATTATTGTATTATAGGCTTTTCCGAATGTAGGAATTTTGTTGCTATTTTGTAAGCTATTTCCACTGTCAAATGTTAACAATTTAAAATATAATGAATCACACAGTAAATGCAAGTTTGTAATTTCTTACACCATAGTTCACTTGTCAGTTACTTGTTCAATTGTATTTAATCAGAAATGTCAGAAGATCTTCGAAATAAATAGATATTAATTGCAGCAAAAAAGAATCGGTGATATTCAATGTAAAAAATATTATTGAATATATTTGTTTGAATGAGCAAATTGTCATTTATCGTTCTTCTTCATCCCCTGGTGGGATTAGCGGTAAGTTTACTGACTTACAACGCTAAAATCTGAAGTTCGATTCCACGCGGTAGAAAAAGGGCAGATAGCCCATTTTGTAGCTTTTCATGATGAAAACAACAACGCTTTTCTTCTTTTTGCATTCATTTCGAGTCTGACTAATAATATGACCACACAACCAATAGAAAACATTAAATTTTGGCAATGAAAACACGACTATACATATCAACAGCTATGTCACACCGATAAGTGAAATCTCCTTGATATCAGCCTTTACATATGGGGTGATAATCTAAACTATTATTTGACAAAATATATGAATATATGTATCCTTTTATAACTGGCAAATCATTGAATTAATTGCCACCAAATCCTTAACCCCTCGGGGGGAGGGATTTACTTAGGGTGTTCGTTGTTAGGATCTGACCCCTCCCTTATGTCACCCCTGGGGCTCCTACGTCTTCTACGTGCATTGAACAGGTACATCAGATAGTAATAATATAAATATCAAATAGCTCTTAATAAAAAAAGAATCTGCATTGTTCAGCAGTAATTATAAAAGTAAAGCACAAAACAACTGTCTGCTGACCAGTTAAAATGGGTAAAGTTTAATTAACCATTTTTTCCTTACAGTAAAAATAATCATAAAATAATGAACCAATTAAAAGAGGGATTTAATTAGATGTTGATCAAGGTTTTACGTTAATGCCTGAAATGTTTTTGCGAATATGTTTTGTATTATGTTACAGAACAAAGTTACTTTGTTACTTCATCTGATTTTTAGATATTAAATATTTTAGGCATCAAAAAAAAAATTGTAAATACTTAACACTCTTTTTTTCTGATGTATTAAAGCTAAGTTTTGTAAATTTCTTACAAAACAATGTCATCAAACAAACTTAAATAGAACAAGATTCGATAAGTTATAAAAACTGAGATTAGCTTAAAATTCCAAAATGTTAAATGCTGGTCTAGTTAAGTACTTACACATGATAAAAGGTTTGTTAATTGATTTGAACTACTTTTTATATTGAATAAACACACGTCTTTCTTGAAACCTGCTTACGGCGCAAGCACGATACTAACACATGTTAAATTCTGTTTATTGTTTGTTTGTTTTTGGTGGTGGTGATAATCAAACATTTGTCCACGTGCTTGCTATAAGTATTCCAAAGGGAATAATGCCTTCCGCTATACCAAATTTGTATACAAACACGTAGAGTGCTGTAGCAAAGAGCGCTATAATGCCTAAGAAGCAAAGTCCCATCGGCCACGAGTGATGCACCCCTTATGGCGAGGCAACCTTGAGATCTTTAGCACCTGACAGAAGGCAAAACAGCTCTGGTAGACACTTTTCTTTTTTGCGTGCACTCTTACCTACAGAGCTAACAGTGCCACCTCGGGAGTCGACATGCCGCAATTACTCTTTAAATGATGATATGATTGTAAAAAAAGGTTAGGTGTTATATGCGTATTTTAACAGAGAGCTTGTAGTACTTACCCATATTGAATAATATTACTGCTCTATCACCAGACAGTTTAATGTGGACGTATCGAAATCAAACTCAGACATCTTATAAAGACTCTAGCTTTCCAGATTCTTTACCAGTGTGTGGTATCTTCCCGTCAGAGGCCGCTACAGAAACGATTATAATAAAAAATATTTAATCAGCATTCATGAACTACCGGACCATTTAATTGTGAAATGACGAGCCAAGATACCCAATAAATCATCCGGAATGCAATAGACGGGATTATCTGTGGATGCTTTTTAAACGGATTTTATATTTGCTTTCCATTGTCATTTATTGTGCATGTAATATAACCTGTTGTGTTTCAATGTATATATAATTTTTTTCTAAGCTTACCAAGCAGACAGTATTTAAGTGAGTAAAACACTTTGGCTGTTCTGTCAAAAAAATTGGACTTGTGACCAGTTGTTCTGATAATGCTCTTATATCTATTTTGCAATTAGGTAATAACTGAGCCTGTAATATTTCACCTTTAATAAACAATTATGTTAGCAAGATAATTATAAACAAAATATTCGACGGCGTAACTTCTGTCCATCTTATTTCATTCAAATCAGTGTTGGAAGCTATCCAGTTTAATAGCTACTTCAGTAGCGTGGTTGCCCGGTAACCTCCCCCCACACACGCCTTCTTGAGAAAGCCGTCTTGATTTTTCTCTTTGACAACAGTATACAGAAAATTATCCAACAACGGCCTCAAGTTTTAACTTTTCATTAGGAAAATGTCAATAAAATGCACTTTTAAAGTTAATTTTGATTTGAAAAGTTGTAGAAGATGATTTTTTCCGATGTCTTGTATTATTTCTCTAAATATGTTTGTTTTGAATTTCGCGTAAAGCTACACGAGGGCTATCTGCGCTAGCCGCCCCTAATTTAGCAGTGTAAGACTAGAG